GTAGCAGAAAGCTAAAATCTTCCCCATAAAAATCAACCCGCTTCCTCCTTTTATTGCAAATAAGTCTGCCCTCCCTTCCTTTAGTTTTCTTTTCTTAAGTGGAATAAAAAGTGGATATCAGTAGTTGCCTTTAAATCTCAACGAGAGAGCTGTTTCCAGTGTCGTTTGTCGCAGATGCCTGAGTTCCATAACATCAAACAAGGGTTTCAGGCTTCCCCCCGCCCTACCACTAAGTGCTTGCGATCATTATCTATGATATTTGCATTTCCCCTTCTGTGCTAAATCTTCGAGGTTTAAAAAGCTTAAACCAAAAAGTTTTTGAGGGTGCGACGGTCGGGCCCATCTTCCTGACATCTACCAGGACTTTAAACAACCGCTGGCAGGTTGGGGGTCTGGGTCCGAGAGTTTCCTGCCCTCCACGACATAAAGGAAGGGGACCATCTCTAGGCCGTCGTTCAAGGGTAAGAATTGGCTGGAAGGAAAGTTGCCGGCAGGTCTCTCCTGTTCACCCCGCCGCCTAATGAATGTAGCGCTGGAAAAAGCCCTGCCAGTCTCCGGCGGCGGCTTGTGGCTGAGTGTCACGCTGCTGGCGCAGGCTCGGCCGGTATTGCTGCTATGCGAGGAAATATGAGCGAGTAATTTTATAAGTAACAAAGGATCAGGGATGGAATGAGGCCCCTGTTATCCAATGTCATTTAGAAGCCTTGGATCAGCAGCTTCTTGAGGCTAAAAGTGAATTCAAGAAGCCCTGCCTTTCCCTTTTCCCAGGGGATGTCAGCTAAATTTAGAAATAACCTCTCTATGTGTTTGCACAAATCATGTACCATTTGCTGTTTGTGTAAAAACCGATTAGCCAGACACAACTGTGAAACAACTTGTTACTTTTATAGCTGCAACACACAAACAAAATTAGATCCGTTTAGTTTTCCTTGTAAAAGGAGATTAGAAGGGACCCACCCGGAGACCGTGTGGTCCATAATCTCCCCTCGGTGAAGGTTACCATTGCTCCTCTCTCGCGGTGGTTATCAGGTTCTTGTTTATCAAGTTAAACTATCTCACCCCCGGCAGCTTGTTTTATTTTAGGACCCTGATCCCGAAGGAATGTTTACTCAAGGACACAATAATGTTTACGGTTTACCAGGAAAACAGATTCGGTATTTGCAAGGAAGTGTATTTCAAAGCAACTCCCAGCCCACGTCGACAGAGGAGAAATGTGGCTGGGATCCGCGACGGGGAGGCATCTCCACCACCAGGGAGGCAAAGTGGACAACACTGGGGACTGGCCGGGTTTAACCAAAAGGACGCGCGCAGGGCCGAGCCGACAGCACTGCTACTCGCTCCAGTTTTTAAAAGCGATTTCGCACAAGTAATTGTAACAGCTAAATTAATTACAAAATAATTAGAATTGATGCCTTTTGAGGATATGCTGATAGTGGTGAGAACCAGCCTTCCACATCAAGATGTTTCATTTCTACCTTCATACTTTCTTTTAAAAGGTTTTTAACAGCTGAAATGCACATTAAAAATAATCTACGAGGACCTTCCCCATTCCTGCCCTACGATCTCGCATTTCACACTAACCTAGCCTAAGGTAAAGAAAAAAAGGGGAGAGAGGTGATGTTCAGCTGTTTTTAAAAGGGTATTAAGGCCACCATTCCTTGGCCTTCAGAAAGGCTTCGGATTGGAGGGAGAGGAAGCATCTATAGGAACCCTTCAGAAATCCAATTATGTTGTGAATTGATTATTGCCATATAAATGAGGTATCTTATTTGAAAATATTATGAAAACAAAACTATGTATTATCTATCAGATGAATATAAATAAAATCTCACTGCAAAATGTAAAATGCCTTAACATAAATTTTTAAAACCAGCTGGGTCTATTTACCACTTCCACTTAAGGAATGAAGAGAAATAATTTCAAAAATCTAAGATTTAAATGTTAAAAAGAGGGATATTTGTAATTTACTTACTTTTCAAAGGATAATTGAAATGACCAGAAACTCTCTCATTTGGGAACTTTTCATTGTGGAAGACACAAGTCTGGTCATTTAAAAAAAAAAAAAAACATTTAAAGACTGCTGTTGTTTCGGTTTCTTTTTTTAAATGACAGCTTACTTTACAGAACTGTCTGGTCATTTAGATTTAATGGGTTCATATGAATGATATCACTCACATCCTGATTTTATGTGAAAACTAAAAGAAAAATGTTAACACAATTAAAATTAGGCATACTGTTTCCTTTCTCCAATTAAAATTTTCTTACACTCAAATTATGAATTTACAAAGTTTGAAAAGGTCATTATTTGAAATTCCTTGATTTTCTGGGGAGGAGAAAAGGCAAAAACCATTTAAAAATCTTGCCATTTACTTCAGACAACTAAATAAAACACTAGGCTGGGCATTTTAAAAATTTATTTACAAAGTTGTGTACAACACGATGGAATAACATTTAGAATACCATATATATTCATTCATATATAAACAGACTTTTATAATAGAATGACACTTTTTGCCTTTTTGAAAATTTTTTATATTTAAAATCTCCCAACGTCTCTATACATTCTTTTCTCAGATAAAACTTCGGAGAGTGAACCTTCAAAAAAATGAAAGTTCAGAGCTCTAAATCTACGGAATTTGTTTTTTCTTAAAAAAATAAAAACCCCAAAAGGAAAGTCAATAATTTTTTTACAAATATATACAAAGAATTTCCCTCCCATCCCCACGGTACTAAGAGCAGGTGCCGTCGGGGTGCATTTTTGGAAAATTCGGTTTTCGGTTTTACCTGTATGGAAAGCTATTCCCGGCGGGCACGCGGTGAGTTTGCTCGACCAGCTTAAGTGTGCGCGAGGGGGTGGAGGCCGCGGAAGGTAGGCGTTGGGGGCTCAGGGGAAAGGAAATGGGGGAGAGGCAGAGTCCAGGATTGGGCAGCGGGACCGGGACCGGGACCGGGCTCGGGACGGGGCGCGCAGCCTGGAGGTGCAGCTGCCGCTCGAGGCCGCCGCCGGGCCCTGGGTACCGGCCACTGGCGCGTCCCTATTGCGCCGGCCATTTGGCTTGAGCGGCGGCGGCTGCAGCGGCGGCGGCCGAGGCTGCGGGCTGCAGAAACTGTCCGGAGAGCGGCACGCTCAGGATGGGCGCGATGGTGGCAGTCGTCCGGCTCAGCGACAGCGGTTGGTGCGTGGCCATGAGCGCTGCCGACTGCACGGTCCCGGGTGGCCGCAGAAATGACTGCGCCGTGTTGCCGCCCCCGGAACCCCCAGTGCCGCCGGCGCCCCCAGCGCCCGCCGCCGAGCCGCCGGGAGCCGCGGGGCCCCCACCTATGATGTTCTCGATGCTGAACGACGGCCGTGCGCTTGGTTCGGACTTGATGAGCGACGCGGTGGTGCCCGCGGCGCCCGCTGTGCCCGCAGCGGCCGCGGCGGCGCCCAGGCTATTGAGCTGCAGCTGCAGGCCCGGGCCGAGCTGTGAGCCGAAGGCGGCCGCTTTGCGGCCCAGCTCGCCCGAGGGCAGCAGGGGCACGGCGGGAGGCAGCACCGGCGCCACCGGCGGCAGCGCGTACGGGTACTGGAGCGCCGCCGCAGCCGCCGCGGCCGCCGCCGCTGCCGGGTGCGAATAGGCACCGGCCGCCGCCGCCGGGTGCAGGCCGTAGGGGCGGCCGTAGGGTCCCGCAGCGCCAGCCGCCGCCGCCAGGCTGTAGGCGCCGAAGCTCTGCATCATGAGCGCCGTCTGCTCGCGCAGGTGCTCCTGCTGGTGGCGCTTGAAGCGTTTCCGGCGCCGCAGGAAGCTGCCGTTGTCGAACATGTCCTCGGACTGCGGGTCCAGGGTCCAGTAGTTGCCCTTGCCCGGATTGCCCGGCTCGCGGGGGATCTTGACGAAGCAGTCGTTGAGTGAGAGGTTGTGGCGGATGCTGTTCTGCCAGGCGGGGAACTTCTCCCGGTAGTAGGGGAAGCGGTTGCTGATGAACTCGCAGATGCCGCTCAGGGTCAGCTTCTTCTGCGGGCTCTGCAGGATGGCCATGGTGATGAGCGCGATGTACGAGTAGGGCGGCTTCACCAGGCTGTTCTTTGGCTTGCTCGGGGCCAGGCCTCCTGCCGAACCACTGCCCGCGCCGGGCCCGCCGCCGCTCGCGCCGCCCTCGTCGCCGCCAACACCGCCCTTGCAGCCGTCCGCCTCCGGCGCGCCCACCTCGCCCCCCGGTCCGGCCCCGGCTCCGGCCGCCTCCTTGGGCAATGCCAGGGGCTGCTGGTGGGGCGGCTGAGGCTGTCCGTGATGGGGTGCTGCCGGGGGCACTTCGTCCGCCTCGTCCAGGCGCAGCTCCGGCGGCCCCGCTGGGCTATCGCAACCCGCGTCGCTGTCCTTCTCCTCCAGCCCGTCGTCGCCCTCGCCCACCACATCGATGTCCACGTCCTCGGCCGTCAGCACCGTCTGGCCGGACATGTCGCTGGCGCTGCCGCCGCCGGAGAGGGTCATCCCTCCTCGGGGTTGGTAGCGGCGGCGGGGAGGGGGCAGAGGGCGATGGGGGTGGTCGGGGGCTGCCGCGGAGCTCAGGGGAAGAGGGTTTGAGTGCCCCCGAAAGATGGGGGGCAGGGAGAGGGGAGGGGGCCGCAGGTGGCTTGGGGCCCGCTCGGCTCAGCTCACACTCGGCGGCCCCGCATCGCGCGGCGCGGGCTCTGCCGTCCGCCCCCAGCGGCCGCGCTCCGCGAACTCCTGCCGTCCCTGGCGCTCGGTACTAGGCGCTCGCTACCACTCCCGGCCCCGGCAGTTCTCCACGCCGCGCCCCCTCACTTAGCCGGCCTTCCTCGGCCTCTGGCCCTGGCTTGGGGCGCAGGAGCGGTCCAGGCGGGCGCGGGACGCCGGGCGCCGAGCAGCTCGGGAGGGCGCGGGCAGGGGCAGTAGCGGGGGGGCAGGGGGCTGGGTGTCAGGGACGCCGAAGCCCCGGTAGTCGAAAGTCCCGTTTTAAGGACTGGCCTGATAGATTACTTTCTACTTAAAGATCCAGCGGGAGGCGGGGCCACGTGACCGTGCGTGACGTCAGGGCCGCGGCGGAACCGGCCAAACTCAAGTTGGTTCAGGGAATTGTCAACAAAGGGACCAGAGACGCGCAACTCCGCTCCGCACTGTGCGCCAGCATCCCCCGGGCCCCGAGGGCGCTCCGGCCCGCCCGGAGACCCCCCGCCCAGGCTGGAGCCGGGCCCTGGGACCCAGGGAGCGGGTGGGTGTGAGTGTGGGTGGGTGTGAGCGAGTGAGGGCGTGGGCCTGAGAGCGTCCGCGGGACTGTGCGACTGTCGCTGCCCCGCCTTCCCCGCCCCCTCTCCATTCCCCCTTCTCTGCCCCCCTTTGCCACACTCCTTAGACAGGGACGGGCGACCTAGAACGAGGTTCCCATACCGTCTTTTGAAAAGCAAAACTTGGTCTCTGTTTTGCCTTTTGTTTTATTGTTTTTAGCTTTAAAGAGTAAGAGCAGCGCACCCGGCTCCCTCCTGCTAATTAGACTTCAGATCCCTCTCTGGCCTCAGTGCTCATTCTGGGGAAGACACCTGCTGAGATGTCTTTTTCCCCCTCCCTCAACCAAACCACTTAGGTCCTGCCTGCTCTTTCCCGGCTGGATGCGAGCGTGTTTTCCTGTATGTATTTTTTCATGCGGCCACAAACAGCATCAGCTGGGGTTCCCGAAGGTCAGAAAATGGCTATTGATTAATCTATTAGAATAGTTGCCGAGAGAAATAAAAACGACGTAAAATAACAGGGACCCTATAAATAAAGAAGCCATAACTGGCTACTTGGAGTTGTTGAACGACTTAGCATATGAAAAAATCGGAAATGAGGCGCTGGGGAAGGAGCCGGCATTGGCAGCGGCCCGGGTAAGTCGAGTGGATCCGGGAAGAGGCCTGGTGCCTCCAGGTAGACGCAGCGCCCAGGGACGGCTGAAGAAACATGAGGTGTGCGGGCGGTAACTTCCCGGGCGGTGGGCATGGCCTCGGGGGAACCTGGGCAGTCTTGGGCACGCCAGCGTGCTGGGCTCTCCGTTGCTGCCAACTAAAGTGGATTTTGTCCTCTTAAGGTGTAGACAAATCCTCCCAAGATTTAACTTCCAAGGAAACCAGCGGCGGAGCGGTTGGAGGAGGCGAGGATGTGTGGCCAGCGCACGCGGAGTGCAAGGCAAGTCAGTGATGGTAGGAAAAACTGTGGGGATTTCACTGGGACTGGAGGGGGAGCCACCGCAAACCGACCCCCAAGTGCGTGGCTGGGATGCGTGGACCTCACACCTCCAAGGAAAGTCGGTGCTCTTGACCCGGTGAATCGCGATGCGCTGCCTCTTTCCTTCCGCATTTAGGCCACCTAGTTGGGAGCCGCAAGAGCCTGTGCCTAGTGTGGCAGGCACACGTAACCCAATCCCTATCTGTACGCTGCGGCCTGGGAGGGGAGCGCCGGCCTCACCAGAGGAAGGAGCACGAGGGGAGGAGTTCCGAGAGGAAATAATTAGTGAAATATTTGCAGAAGATGCTGGGATGTGGATTTAATTCCGGATGGACAGTGGTGCTTCCGATTCCCTCAGTCTGTTTCCCCATCCACGATCTCCTCTTTCCTTGGCCTAGACACACTAAAAATAATTCAATAAAATAAAAAGTTTAAAATCTGTAAACCTGCTTCATTACAGGCATTGAGACACACAGATTGACTTTCATCTTCATTAGACAGTTTCCCCGGATAGAATACTAACTCACTCGAGGCTGGGAGCAGGGTGGGGTGTGGTGACTCTATCCTGAGACGCCCGCTAACCTCCACGGTTTTTCTTTATCTAAATGATCCCAAGGTTGCACCGGCCCTAAAACGCATCTCAGAGTTGATTTCTGTAGCTTCACAGCTTTGTGGCCCGCAGGCTTCGAACCGTTTACCGTGCCGTCTAGACAGCCTTCCGCGAAACCGACCCGGGCTGAGCTGGCTGGCCACCGCCCGGAACTGCAGAGTTCGCGGTTGCAACTGCCTCAGCAACCGAAGGAGGGTCGGAAGGTCCAAAAAAAAAAAAAAAAAGAAAATCCTGAAATTTACACATTCAGGAACTTCCTGTGCTCTGCTTGGGTTGCCCAGCCCTAGAGGCAGGGGCGCGGGGCGCAGCGCTGGCCCTGCCGCGGCCTTGGTGGCTTGGCCCGCGTGGACAAGTAAGTGTGGACGCGTGCCGGAGGATGGTGGCTACAGGGCTCCCCTCACCGGTCTCGAAGTAGTCTCCAAATGAGCCTAATTTCGATTCTGCCGCCCGCCGAGGCTAGCTCTCTGGAATCCCTCCACGCCGCTGGTCGCTGCCTCCTACCCTCCCTCTGCCACGGCCGGGCCTGATCCGTCCATTCCCCGGTGTCTCCTTGGAACCTCCCTGGGGAAGGGGGTGGAGGATGAACAACTCCCAGCTGCCGGTTCCATTTGTTGCGCTTTTTTCCTTCAACACAATAAAAGTCAAATTAATTGATTCATACCATTAATTACGGCGCGTAGCGTGAAAAGCAACGCTTCCCCTCGGTTAGAGATCTATTGTGCTAATCTCTTGTTCAATCAGTGTTACCATCTGATGCTGGGTCCGGCCCTTACAGAAACTTTTCGACTCGATTAGCTAAATGATGAGACGTGCACAACCTACTGGCTGCGGCCCCGACGTCCCGCGCCCGCGCCGGCCTAATATCGATTTCCAGCGGAGGCAGAGGATTTTTCCGTGGACACTCTCGGCTCAGGAACCGGCCGCCGGCTTTCTCCCTCCAGGAGGACCATAGCGCCCGCACAACCTCCGGGGGCAGGAAGGAGGCGAAGCGGCGGCCGGGAAGGGAGACAGGAAGGTTCCTGCTGGCCTTGACGCAGGAGGCTGCCCCAGCGAAAGGGTCCGATCCCGACGCTGTGCAGGGTCCTGCCGGAGACCGGCTAGATGCCGGGCTAAATAAATTTGCTGCGTAGTTGCAGTTTGCAGCTAAAAGCCCGCAGGTCGTCAGTTACCGCCAAGCTGTAGGACAGAGATGGAAGAAGCGAGATAGATACAGAGAGAAAGTGAGACACATGTAGTGGGGGGGAAGAAAATGTGATAAAGGGAAGGGAAAAGGGTGTATGTGGATAAAAAGTTTTTGAGTCTCAAGGGGTTATTCGAGAGGTAGAGAGAGAATGAGTAGACACACACACACAGTTACGAGTTTGAGTGACTCTTTGAGTCTCAACAAGCGAACTTCCCAGGAGAGATTTAAAAAGGAAGATGGCAGCCAGCTGCCTCACCTGCTCAAATGTTTGAAATGTTACAACCAAAGGAGAATGGAATGAAACCCCTTCGGTTCTCCTGGAGCGGGCAGAGTACGTGGTACCCCGCTGGGAAAGCCACCTGGACGCGGTGGGAGTGAAGGGGTGGGGCGAGTGGGGATCTAGGTTCTAGCAACAGGAGGCAAGAAGAGTGGAGTCCGGATCGATAGGAAGGAAATTGAGACGTTTCCAGGGGAGGGGAGATTTAGTGTGTGCGTCCCGGGCGGGGGATGGGGGAGGGAAGAAATGGATAGAAAAATTTATGATGGAGAAAGGGAAATTAATTACAGCCCATTTTGGGTTCTTAGGTGGTCAACACTGGAGGAGGGGCACAGTTAGAGTGCGGAAGGCGGGAATTGCCCACCTACCCCTCACCAGGCCCAAGTGAACCCAGATACCTCTTTTCTCTTCTTTTAAGTCAGAGACAGTGCCAGTGACTTGAATAAATCGTTGGCGCGATGTGAGATAGAATCATCACGCGCGCGCGCGGGTGCAATTTTCTTACAATCCGGGGCATTGGGACCAGGTTCCGGGGAGTGAAGGGCGTGTCCCCCACCAAGAGCAGTTATTCTGTGTCCAAGAGGGAGCAAAACGTGGGTGGGGCTATTAGAAAAATACCCCTCCTTTCTCCCCAACAGCCCCGCGCCCACAACAATCAAAGTCTGCTTCTTTTGACAATCTGCATAGATTCGTTAAACTATTACCGGCCTCTTTGTCTGGAGAGCCGCCACCAAGGAAGGTGGGAAAGGGCAGAGGTGATACCCAAGGCCCCAACCCACTCAGATTATTTCCATTTCCCAAAGCGGGGAATTTTTAACTCTCTTACCCACCCCCCCACCCTTGTATACCTCTCCGGATCTTTTCGGGGTGGAAAAAAAAGAGGCTATTTTAGTGTTCTTGTTTGGATTTGCATCTCAAAACTTCATTTATTTTCAAGGTGTCTGCCACTCAGGGTCCACGCCAAGGCGTGACTGTAAATGGCGAGAGACCAAAAGGAAAGGAGGAGAGAAAGAGGAAGAGAGAGAGGATGGTTTCGAATTTATTTATATTGGAAATGTATAAACATCCATTCTGTAAAAGGCAACACGTTTAATTAACGATGAGAGAGCAGTTAGGGGCAGAAAGCTAGTAAAATTGTGTGATAAATTTATGGCATTGTTAGCGTGCTTTTAATTATGGCTATTATGTTAATTATTTCACATTAGCATGGAGTTATCAGCAGCATGTCAGATTTAATCAAAACGAGCCTTTCTCTCGAAAATTGTTCTTTTCATCCACGAGGAGAAAGGTCCTGGACAGGATCGGGGCTTAAAAATGACTTGGCATTGAAAGCCGGAGTCTTTCCGACACCGTTTGGAGCGATGCGGCCAGGCCCGGCTGTCCGCTGGGTCCCTCCAGGCTACCGGCAGCTCGAGGAGGAGCCCAGGGCTGGGTTTTTAGGAATTCACCATTTTCACCCCCTTCGGAGCCGACACTTCATCATGCGAGATCATTCTGTCAAACAATATGATGCTGCTCATTTTTATCTGTCCCGCTTTACAAAATCCCCATTCAGCCGGCCGAGGAGCAACAAAAGCCTCTGAGCAGCTCGGCAGCCGCTGGCAGCCACAGCCTCCCCGGCGCGCGAGAAAGAAAGGCGAGAGGGGCCGAGGAAAGCAGGCGGCGGGCGCGCGCCCCTCTCCGCCCGAGGGAACGCGGCCTGCTGGGGCCTGCGCACCCAGGTGTCGGGTCCTCGGGTGTGGCTCGGGCGGGACACGCCTCCCTCAGGCCCGCTCCCGCTCTCGGCCTCCCTGCAGGCGCTGGGCGAAAGCCCCCATCCCTCCCTGCGAGCTACTCGCCCACCCAGGCCACATCGATTCCTTAATCACCGCCGATCGATTTATTGGGAGCAAATAAATAGCCTGTTTTGGAAACGTTTCAATTGCTGGCTTGATGGTTGGAGCGCTGACGCGGGAGGGCGGGCAGGGCCGTGGGGCGCGCGCCGGAAGGGACTTGTGGGAAGGCAGGGAGCTGAAAGGCCGAGCGCCACCCGCCCCGGCAGCCTTCAGAGCAGTGCGTGGAGCAGACCTCCACGGGTCCCCCGGCGCTTTGGTCTCCGGAGACGCCCGGCCTCCTGGAGGGTTCCTCTTGTCCTCCTCTGGCGCCCGGCTCCCTCTGGCGGCCGGGCGGGCAGGACCTCAGCGCCCAGCCCTTCCGCCTTGTTAACGTCCAGGCAAGTTGGCCCGGCTTTCGGATGCCTCTGGACAGTCCCCGTCCAGGCCCGCGACCCAGCCCGAGTGGAGGGCCCGGGGCCCACAGAGCGCGGCCTCCCAGGCCTTCCAGCCCAGGCTGCGGACGCCGCAGCCTCCTCGCCCCTGGGCCGGACGCGGCCTTCCTGCCCAAGACCACTCGGGCCCCCGCCTCTCCCGGGACAGGGCTGTGGACAGGCCAGCTGCTGCCTTATTTTTAGCGCCATTCCATTCGCGCGGTTATATTTAACTCGACCCACTCCTCCGAGGAGGTCGCTCGGACATCGAATTCTCCACATCGCAGCTTGGGCCCGCCCGCCTTGCCTCAGGGGCAGTTTCTCAAGGGGCAGATTGGAAAACCCCTGCTTAAGAAACCTTGACATATCCGGAGCTTGGAGAGGACAGGATTGGGAGAGAGATCTGGCTCTAGGGACAGTGGCTACCGCGCCGGCAGTGCACTGGGTGGGGATTCCGCCTTGTGTGGGGGAGGGGAGGAAGGGACAGGATGAGTCCTGTGGGAAGGATTCTTTGCGGGGAGTATTGTGTCCATTTCTTACTTATGCATGACCCAGAACACTAGGTGACCTGGAAGACCTCTCACGACCCTGCCCTTCGAAAAGTTCATCATTTAGTGTGCATGCAGGAATCCCTTCTCTACCCTCCAGTGCACCCAACGGGATATTTGATTTCAATGGTATGTTAGCTCCTCAGTTCCAGCCCAGTCTTCCCTTGGCAAAATCTTTTTTTTTTTTTTTTTTTTTTTTTTGAGACGGAGTCTCGCTGTGTCGCCCAGGCTGGAGTGCGGTGGCGCGACTTCGGCTCACTGCAAGCTCCGCCTCCCGGGTTCACGCCATTCTCCCGCCTCAGCCTCCGAGTAGCTGGGATTACAGGCGCCCGCCACCTCGCCCGCCTAGTTTTTTGTATTTTTAGTAGAGACGGGGTTTCACCATGTTAGCCAGGATGGTCTCGATCTCCTGACCTCGTGATCCACCCGCCTCGGCCTCCCAAAGTGCTGGGATTACAGGCTTGAGCCACCGCGCCCGGCCTCTTGGCAAAATCTTAAAAAGACCATGCCAAAGGCTCACTCACATCCTGGGGAAAGGACCCACTTGGATAACATACAGAAACACCATTGTGATCCACGCTTTATTCACACAGAATGTCAGTTAGCAAACAATGCAGAAGTCATGTACTAAAGTTACACTAACATGATGTGACATGGATCGGGGATATCGAAACACATTTTTTTGTTTTTCTTTGAGATGGGGTCTCACTCTATGTCCCAGGCTGGAGTACAGTGGTGCAATCATAGATGGCTGCAGCTCTCGACCTCCTGGGCTCAAGCCATCCTCCTGCCTTAGCCTCTTGAGTAGCTGGGACTACAGATGCATACCACCACACCCAGCTAATTTTTTATTTTTATTTTTTGTAGAGATGGGATCTCACTCTGTTGTCCAGGCTAGTCTCAAATTCTTGGCCTCAAGCGATCCTCCCACCTCAGCCTCTCAAAGTGCTGGGATTACAGGTGTGAACCACCCTGCCAGGCCAAAACACATCTTTTAAATTTTAAATTCTTCTATCATTTTTAAAGAAACAAGTTTTCCTTGGGTCAAACGTAGGTATCTCTGGCTGCCTTTTTTGGTAACTCTCATTTTAATACAGAAATTTCTTGGATTTAAGTCATACCCACAGCTGAATTCAGGGGGAGAGGATATATAAGTATATAATATATATTTAGTTACTCATTTATTCCTTATTAGTAATTTATTGAACGGGTGTAGACCTGGAAAGTACTAGGAATGAAAAGAAGAATTAAACCCAAGATTCCTCAAGGAAGAACCAGGCAAGAGAATCAGTGTTTGTCATGCAGGTTGATAGGTGCCATGGCAAGGGGAAACAGCGCAGAGGAGGACCTTTCTCACTGGGTAGGGATT